GTGGAAAAAGTCAAGGGGTCTAAATACTTTCCAAAGGCACTGTATGTACATAGTGTGGAACAAAGAAGGCACCAGTTGTTTTCACATACCTCCCACCAACCAGTGGCTAAATGTCACAATGATGTGCAATCTTTAGCCCTGCACTAGCCAGGAAGTACAGCATGTCCATACTAATATTTGTTGTATGCTTTATTGGTTTTAGCACTGTCGTCTTCCAGAGCTGATTCCAGAAAAGTAAGAGAGGGACTAATTGAGCCCAAATCTAATGGAGACCTAGTTAACTCCTCTATTCCATCACAACAACCTACCGACTCCGTTCAGTTGTACAAAACAACTTAATTGAGTGCTGAGTCTGTTGACCAATTAGATATTTTTTGCCCTTGATCTCTTTAAATCTTCAGAGGAGACATTTGGTGTTCATAGGACTCTTGAGATTATGCTCTACGGCTCACAGAGCTGGTAGCTGATTTATATGGATCTACCCAATGGAGAGGGGAATCCCTGCAGCCCCTATTCCAATCCCTATAAGAGGATATTGATGGGTGATTCTGTGGCACAAAGCCCTACCCCTCTCTCTTTTTTGACACTCAAATTTGTCACTATCGCTCTCTTTGTTTTTCCCTCTCTTTCTCTGTCTCTCTCTCTTTTTGGGGGGAGATTAGAGGTAGAATAAAGTGTTTTAATGGATCAGGCATTGAGGGGTATTTTTATTAGAGGGCTTCTTTGTCTGAGAAGGGAATGAAGGAGGGAGAGGAAGAAAAAGAGAGATGGACTTTGTATATATTGTAAATGTGTGTGTGTGTGTGTGTTTGTGTGTGTGTGTGTGTGTGTGTGTGTGTGTGTGTGTATGTGTGTGTGTGTGTCTGTGCATGTCAGAGTAAAAAGAAAGAGTGACATAGAGTGCTTCAGTCTTCCCCTTCAACAATTGCAGCGGCTGTGCTTTGAGATTTGTGTCTGTTTAGATCTTTGACACCAAACACTCAGGCAGAGAATAAGCCCTGGGGCTACTATGACAGATGTTTTCTCCCAGCCCACTGGAAATGAATGTTTTTGGGGAAATACACAACTATCTATCTGGAAAATAAGAATGTCTGTGGAATTGGCAGTTCCTTGGACGTCATAGTAATTCCCAGCATGTCTTTTGTGGATGGATCAGTCAGTGGATGGATTGGACTGTGTTAGTGTTACATTTACATTTAAGTCATTTAGCAGACGCTCTTATCCAGAGCGACTTACAGTTAGTGAGTGCATACAACATTTTGTATTTATTTTTTCATACTGCCCCACCGTGGGAATCGAACCCACAACCCTGGCGTTGCAAACGCCATGCTCTACCAACTGAGCGACATCCCTGCCGGCCATTCCCTCCCCTACCCTGGACGACGCTGGGCCAATTGTGCGCCGCCCGATGTTACACGAGAGATGGAAGAGTTAGAGGAGGAGAATGAGTACAGTGATGGAGAGAGACAGGACAATCCCTCGTTTCCTCCCCGTAAAGCTGCTCAAAAGGTAGTTGTAGTAGTAAACAATGGCAAAATAAATCTAAGACAATGAGAAACAAAAACATCCTATACCAAAGTTAAATCACGCTGTTAAGTGTTCCCTCACTGCAGCTGCACTCTGTGAGGCTACACATAACCTGCAACACGTCTAGTAGCATAGTGCAATAATACCTGTCAAATGACACGCTGACACCTGTAGATTGGTAATCTAACAGCAGCACCCCTAACGACACCTTAGCCATACATATTTCCAACCAAAAGGGAACTTACTGCATACAGTGCATTCAGAAAGTGTGCAGACCCCTTGACTTTTTCCACATTTTGTTACGTTACAGTCTTATTCTAAAATGGAATAGATAAAAAAAATTCCTTACCAATCTACATACCCCATAATTACAAAGCGAAAACAGGTTTTTAGAAATCTTTGCAAATGTATGAAAATAAAAAATTTAAATATATTATTTACAAAAGTATTCAGACCCTCTGCTATGAGACTCGAAATTGAGCTCAGGTACATCCTGTTTCCATTGATCATCCTTGAGATGTTTCTACAACATGATTGGAGTCCACCTGTGGTAAATTCAATTGATTATACATGATTTGGAAAGGCACACACCTGTCTATATAAGGTCCCACAGTTGACAGTGCATGTCAGAGCAAAAACCAAGCCATGAGGTTGAAGGAATTGTCCGTAGAGCTCCGAGACAGGATTGTGTCGAGGCACAAATCTGGGGAAGGGTACCAAAACATTTCTGCAGCATTGAAGGTCACAAAGAACACAATGGCCTCAAATATTCTTAAATGGAAGAAGTTTGGAACCACTAAGACTCTTCCTAGAGCTGGCCGCCCGGCCAAACTGAGCAATTGGAGGAGAAGGGCCTTGGTCAGGGAGGTGATAAAGAACCTGATGGTCACTCTGACAGAGCTCCAGAGTTCCTCTGTGGAGATGGAAGAACCTTCCAGAAGGACAACCATCTCTGCAGCACTCCACCAATCAGGCCTTTATGGTAAAGTGGCCAGACGGAAGCCACTCCTCAGTAAAAGGCACATGACAGCCCGCTTGGAGTTTGCCAAAAGGCACCAAAAGACTCTCAGACCATGAGAAACAAGATTATCTGGTTTGATGAAACCAAGATTGAACTCTTTGGCCTGAATGCCAAGTGTCACATCTGGAGGAAACATGGCATCATCCATACGGTGAAGCATGGTGGTGGCAGCATCATGCTGTGGGGATGTTTTTCAGCAGCAGGGACTGGGAGACTAGTCAGGATCGAGGGAAAGATGAACAGAGCAAACACAGAGAGATCCTTGATGAAAACTTGCTCCAGAACGCTCAGGACTTCAGACTGGCTCGAAGGTTCACCTTTCAACAGGACAACAACCATAAGCACACAGCCAAGAAAACGCTGTGGCTTCGGGACAAGTCTCTGAATCTCCTTGAGTGGCCCAGCCAGAGCCCGGACTTGAACCCGATCGAACATCACTGGAGAGACCTGGATATAGCTATGCCACAACGCTCCCAATCCAACCTGACAGAGCTTGAGTGGATTTGCAGAGAAGAATGGGAGAAACTCCCAAAATACAGGTGTGCCAAGTTTGTAGCGTCATACCCAAGAAGACTTGATGCTGTAATCTTTGCCAAAGGTGCTTCAACACAGGACTGAGTAAAGGGCCTGAATAATGTGACATTTCTGAAATGGTTTTTGCTTTGTCATTATGGGGTATTGTGTGTAGATTGATGAAGGGGAAAAAACTGTTTAATTCATTTTAGAATAAGGCTGTAACGTAGCAAAATGTGGAAAAAGTCAAGGTGTCTGAATACTTTCCGAATGCACTGTATATACAGTTCATGACCAGTTTTATAGTGCTCATCACTGAGGCTGCTCTCTAATGTCAATATAATGAAATGTGTTTCGATCTATCTATTTAATCTTCTTGGTCGCTTCCCCTCTCTCCACATAGTTAGTATGAGAAGTCCTCTGTGGAGAGATATGTAATGAGCGCTGGGCAGGCGGCTGTAATGTGGCAGTAGAGCCATGCTGTAGAGGCAGGTCCCCTACAATGTCAATCTACAGGCACTGGACACAATAGTATGGCCTGAGGGAATGCTTTTTTTTTGTCTGCCAGTAATGAGCAGTGGAGGCAGGGGTGTTGTGTCAAGCGTGCTTCCCCCATCTCTCCCGAGCTGCCGGAAGGCAGGCGCTCATTATGGGAAGAGTAAATCTCACTAAAATATAATTTAATAACACTGGAGAGTGGTTTGGGGGAGGCGTGGAGGAAGAAGAGGAAGACACAATCGCAGCGACACAGAACCGAAGTGATACGCTCATCGTTAAAATGTATTGAGAAGAGGTGTGTGCTCTCTCTTGCTTACTCTCTCTCTCACACACATATAGGCAAACACACACAGATGCATACGCGCGTGCACACACACAAACACACAACACTGTTGTTGTTCAGTAAAGCTAAATTCTGCTCTAAAGAAAGACACTACACAAGACAGAGAGACACAATAAGCTGGAGAAATGTGGTTGTAAAGGTAATTTGGTTCTGGGGTCTGTCTGGAAAAAGCGAATACGACTTAATTAAACGTGTTTTATACAGCGATAGGAGATCGTATTGCTGGCAAATTTGGTTAGGGGAAACAATGGACTTTATTGTGACGATCAGTATTCCCTAGTGGTTACAATTAAATGTGTTTGCAATTCAAGAGAGGCATGAAGATACGTTTGTGTCCTTAAACCTCAGTACCTTAGTTTCTCACACTAATAAGGTTTTCTAATATTCAAACTAACTGTGGGAGGATTTAGGCTGAAGGAAATTTGTGGTCATACGCACATCCTTAAAAGACTTAGGTGCTGGGCTAATAAAGAATACTAGTATAAGCTCCTAATTCACCGCTTTATTGACAACGTTTCGATCCGAAGACAAACTGAGTGCTCACATCCCAAAATATACAAATATCACCTCACATGACCATTGCGGACATGACACATGGTGGGTGCAAAAAACATTTGTGTATCTCTAATAATTTAATAACAATGGCATGGGTACATGTATTGGTTCCAGAAAATAATATATATTTACAAAATGACCAAGTGGGTAACCTGGAAGACAAGACAAATCAAAGTAAAGTGACATATTCATGTAAGAATTGGTCTGATATCAAACTCTTGGTTCAGACTAACCGGTGCCCCCACACATTGACTCTGTACCGGTACCCCCTGTATATATTTTTTACATATACATTTTTTACTTAACACTTTTTTTTCTTAAAACTGCATTTTTGGTTAAGGGCTTGTAAGTAAGTATTTCACTGTAAGGTCTACACCTGTTGTATTCTGGGCATGTAGCAAATACAATTTGATTTGATTTGATTTTACCTCTAGGAGACATGGTACACAAACAGTGAATCCAATCCAATTCTCTTCTCAATAATAGATGATCAGTATCTCCGCCCCTCCTGTGAGTCTTAACATGTTCAATGCCAATGTACCTCAAAGAGCTAATGTTGTGACGAGCCTCCATGAAATGCGCATCCACAGGGTTTCTCTGGTCAAGGGTCCTGATATTACTCCTGTGTTCTGCTATCCATGTTTTCAGAGCTCATTTAGTTTTTCCTACATAGCATAGACCCCAAATACACTTGATCAGGTATATCACATTATTTGTGGAACATGTAATGATGCCCTTAATCTTAATGGCATTTCCCGTAATAGGGTGATTGAACATTGTACATTTGATTGTGTATTTACACTGGGTACAGTTGAAGTCGGAAGTTTACATACACGTTAGCCAAATACATTTAAACTCAGTTTTTCACAATTCCTGACCTTTAATCCTGGTAAAGATTCCCTGTCTTAGGTCAGTTAGGATCACCACTTTATTTTAAGAATGTGAAATTGTCATGCCCTGGCCTACATAACTAGCTAATTTGGTCAGGGTGTGAATATTCTAGATTTGTATTTCTATGTTGGCCTGTGTGGTTCCAAATCAGAGGCAGCTGTCGCTCGTTGTCTCTGATTGGGAATCATACTTAGGCAGCCTTTTGGCACTGTCTAGTTGTGGGTTCTTGTTCCGTGTAAGGTTTGTTGTGTTGTACCTTTGGACTTCACGTTTCGTTTCCTTTGTTGTTTTGTCGAGTGTTTTTCGTTAAATAAACATGTACGCATATCACGCTGCGCCTTGGTCCGACCCTTCTTTAAATGAATGTGACAGAAGAACCCAACAAACGAGGACCAAGCAGCGTGCCCAGGAGCAGCAGACACCCTGGACACAGGTGGAGAAGCAGAGAGTATGGACTTGGCGGGAGATAAGAGAGGATCTGGCAAGGCAGATGGAGGCCATGAAAGGGATCAGGGTGGAGAAGGAGAGACAGCCCCAAGAAAATATTTTGGGGGGGCTAAAAGGGTGGTCGGGGAGCGACAGAGAGGAGCCCCGACCACTGCACTCGTGGGGGCTCAAGGAGGAGTCGTCACTGGAGGAGGACGGGGCGCGGAGTGTAAAGGACGGAGACAGTCATAGACCTCCAGCGCCGGTTCCCAGTCCGGTACGCCCCATACCTGCTCCCCACACAAAGCCAGTGGTGCGTGTTCCCAGTCCGGCCTGGCCTGTTCCTGCTCCTCGCACCAAGCCAGTGGTGCGTGGTCCCAGTCCGGCCCGGCCTGTTCCTGCTCCACGCAACAAGCCGGTGGTGCGCGTCGCCAGTCCGGCACGGCCCGTGCACGTTCCACCGGTGCCTGGTCCGGCACTGGTCAGCGGCTCCACTCTGGAGCCAGAGCAGTCCGCTCCACCGGTGCCTGATCCAGCTCCGGTCAGCGGCTCCACTCTGGAGCCAGAGCAGTCCGCTCCACCGGTGCCTGATCCAGATCCGGTCGGTTGCTCCACGCCGGAGCCGCCACCGAGATTGGAAGCCCACCCGTACCCTCCCCTATTCAGTTAGGTTTGTGCGGCCGGAGTCCGCACCTTTGTTCTAGATTTGTATTTCTATGTTGGCCGGTGTGGTTCCCAATCAGAGGCAGCTGTCGCTCGTTGTCTCTGATTGGGAATCATACTTAGGCAGGATTTTGGCACTGTCTAGTTGTGGGTTCTTGTTCCGTGTAAGGTTTGTTGTGTTGTACCTTTGGACTTCACGTTTCGTTTCCTTTGTTGTTTTGTCGAGTGTTTTTCGTTAAATAAACATGTACGCATATCATGCTGCGCCTTGGTCCGACCCTTCTTTAAACGAACATGACAGAAATGTCAGCTTTTATTTCTTTCATCACATTCCTAGTGGGTCAGAAGTTTACATACACTCAATTAGTATTGGGTAGCATTGCTTTAAACCGTTTAACTTCGGTCAAACGTTTCGGGTAGCCTTCCAGAAGCTTCCCACAATAAGTTGGGTGAATTTTGGCCCATTCCTCCTGACAGAGCTGGTGTAACGGAGTCAGGTTGGTAGGCGTCCTTGCTCGCACACGCTTTTTCTGTTCTGCCCACACATTTTCTATAGGATTAAGGTCAGGGCTTTGTGATGGCCACTCCAATACCTTGACTTTGTTGTCCTTAAGCCATTTTGCCACAACTTTGGAAGTATGCTTGGGGTCATTGTCCATTTGGAAGACCCATTTGCGACCTAGCTTTAACTTCCTGACTGATGTCTTGAGATGTTGCTTCAATATATCCACATAATTTTCCTTTCTCATGATGCCATCTATTTTGTGAAGTGCACCAGTTCCTCCTGCAGCAAAGCACCCCCACAGCATGATGCTGCCACCCCCGTGCTTCACGGTTGGGATGGTGTTCTTTGGCTTGCAAGCAACCCCCTTTTTTTTACCAAACATAACGATGGTCATTATGGCCAAACAGTTCTATTTTTGTTTCATCAGACCAGAGGACATTTCTCCAAAAAGTATGATCTTTGTCCCCATGTGCATTTGCAAACCGTAGTCTGGCTTTTTTATGGTGGTTTTGGAGTAGTGGCTTCTTCCTTGCTGAGCGGCCTTTCAGGTTATGTCGATATAGGACTCGTTTTACTGTGGATATAGATATTTTTGTACCTGTTTCCTCCAGCATCTTCACAAGGTCCTTTGCTGTTGTTCTGGGATTGATTTGCACTTGTAGCACCAAAGTACGTTCATCTCTAGGAGACAGAACGCGTCTCCTTACTGAGCGGTATGACGGCTGTGTGGTCCCATGGTGTTTATACTTGCGTACTATTGTTTTTACAGATGAACGTGGTATCTTCAGGCGTGTGGAAATTGCTCCCAAGGATGAACCAGACTTGTGGAGGTCTACAATTTTTTTTCTGAGGTCTTGGCTGATTTGTTTAGATTTTCCCATGATGTCAAGCAAAGAGGCACTGAGTTTGAAGGTAGGCCTTGAAATACATCCACAGGTACACCTCCTATTGACTAAAATTATGTCAATTAGCCTATCAGAAGCTTCTAAAGCCATGACATAATTTTATGGAATTTTCCAAGCTGTTTAAAGGCACAGTCAACTTAATGTATCTAAACTTCTGACCCACTGGAATTGTGATACAGTGAATTATAAGTGAAATAATCTGTCTGTAAACAATTGTTGGAAAAATTACTTGTGTCATGCACAAAGTAGATGTCCTAACCGACTTGCCAAAACGATAGTTTGTTAACAAGAAATTTGTGGAGTGGTTGAAAAACGAGTTTTAATGACTCCAACCTAAGTGTATGTAAACTTCCGACTTCAACTGTACATCTGCCACATCTATAGTTACCGTCCGGAACATTGTCTAGAAAGGTACTGCGTGGCACTAGTGGAAGATCAGACCTCACCACCATTTGACTGATGTTGGGGGCGCGTCTGAAGACTACCTAGTTGTGGATCAGTGCTCAAGATGTACCAGTGTTTTTAATGATGTGGTCGAACTGTTTACCAAGTGGGGAGTACTGAAGGAAGCACTGGTCTGGAGGGCGGGGAGGTTTGGGCGTGATGCTGTCATCCTGGGTCATATTTTTAAAACGTTCCCTTGCGTCATGCAGCCATTCCTCTGGGTAACCCCGCTGTCGGAAACACTCATCCAGATGGTCGGCTTGTTTGTCATAGTCACTCTGTGTACTACAAATCCTGCGTATGCGACTGTATTGGCTAATGGGGAGGCTCTTTTTTAGGGGTGTAGGGTGGAAGCTGTTTCCGCGTAACAGGGATTTCCTGTCCGTCGGCTTCCTGTATAGATCTGTACTAAAACCACCCCCATCCCTCTTAATCAAAATGTCAAGAAAACATATTTCATGGTCATCAAAGGTGAGGGTGAGTTTCAAATGTTCACTGCTTGTATTGATGAAGGAGTGAAATCGATTAACTTCCTCTACTGTGCCCTGAACCATTTCCAGAGTCTAATATGGCGCAAGAATGGATTATTAGGGCTGAAAATCACATTCTTAAAAAAAATTAACACATACAGATTGGCATAATTCAGTGCCATTTTACTAGCCATAGCAGTTCCCTTCTGTTGAATGAACATGTCATTTTCAAACATGAAAAAGTTCTTAGTCAGAACAATTTCAAAAAGTTCAACAATACAGTTAGTGCTAGGGAGTGTGTTAATGGGTTGTTGACTGAGGTTGTGTGCCATGGCTTCTAGGCCTCCCTGATGGGGGATTCAACATCAAAGCAAGCCACAAACGTCTCCCCATTGATATTGTGCATTGTCTTAAGGGTGTTAATCATGTCCATAGAATCGCGTACATATGCAGGGCGTGACACCACACTGGGTTTTATAAATAAATCTACAAAAGCAGAAATATTTTCAGTCAATGAGCCAATGGAGGCCACAATAGGTCTCCCTGGTGGCTTATCCAGTCGTTTGTGGATTTTTGGTAAGGCATGAATGACGCTCCTGATTGGATAGTCTACTTTCATGACCTCATATTCTTTTTGCATGATGTCTCCACTTTCCACAAGAGACTTTAGCTTGCAGTGAATCTCATCTTTGAACAGTGGTGTGGGGTCACATGACAATTTCTGATAGAAATTGGTGTTGTTCAATTGTCCCCGGATCTCATACACATAGTCATCACGGTTTAACAACACCACAGCTCCGCTCTTGTCAGCATTATGCACTATCAAAGTGGAATCCTTTTTTTTTTATGAAGACATGCTGAAGACACACAGACACACACACACTGACTAAGATGCATCTCATTTGACGGTATTTATGCCTGTGCATAATGTGTCTGTTTACATGTAGCAATATAGTTGTGGCCAAATATATTGGCACCCTTGCACTTCTCTTAAAGCTGCAATATGTAACTTTTGGAGCGACCCGAAATAGAAATCTTTGTAAAAAATTTGTCATTCTCATTGAAAGCAAGTCTAAGAAGTGGTAGATCTGTTCTATATGCGCTATTTCTATGCTTCCAGTTCTTAAGTTTTGTTTTTATACTTGCTTGTTTGGTCAGATGAACTGACACTTATAGAATTTTTGCAAACAGGAAATGGTGGAGCAATTTCTGCATAGTGCATCTTAAGAAAATTCCCAATTTCTTCTAAAATAAGTTTAAACGTTTTTTTTTTTTTTTTTTTAGTTGGCAATAATTTTTTTCAAATGCATCAAACACATGGTTTGCATGTGTTTGATGCCATTCCATTCGCTCTGTTCCGGACATTATTATGAGCAGTCCTCCCCTCAGCAGCCTCCTGTGATGAAAATACCCTCAAATAAAAGGTGGCATTCTGTACTGTCGCCTCAAATAAAATATTTGATCTCAAATCCAAAAATGATGGAGTATAGAGCTAAATTAAAGCTTTTAGCTTCATTGTCCAAACACTTGTGTGTTTACCCTATCTCTCTGTCCTTCTCTGTAGTAGAATTTTCCCTAATTAGAATTGGCAGTACGACTTTTCAACCCTTCCATTCAAGCATAAATTCTCATCTTCATATCAAATCCATTAAAAGGTCTTCAAGTTAAATAAATATGAACCGAGTGAATAGAGAGAGGGGAATAGAGAGAAAAAATTTAATGAAACAAAAACACACTTGGCTATAATACCTCTCCCCGGGGACAGATATGAAATTGAACTTGATTATTAAAAGAAAGACAATTAATCAATTGCTTTTTATTTCACTATAGGCGGCTTAAGTGAGAATCAAGACTGATGAAAAATCAAACTGGGATAAAAATAAACCAAATGCATGCTATATAATGATGTTATATTGCAATCATAATTGTTTTTGGGATTTGATCCATGTGTTCTTGGAGACAGAACTACAGCGCATTTGGAAAGTATTCAGACCCCTTTACTTTTTCCAGATTTTCTTACCTTACAGCCTTATTCTAAAATTGATTAAATTGTTTTTCTCCTCATCAATATACACAATACCCCATAATGACAGAGCAAAAACAGGTTTTTAAAATGACTGAAATATCACATTTACAAAAGTATTCAGACCCTTTACTCAGTACTTTGTTGAAGCACATTTGGTGGCGATTACAGCCTCGAGTCTTCTTGGGTATGATGCTACAAGCTTGGCATACCTGTATTTGGCTCTGTCGTAGCTGGCCGCGACCGGGAGACCCATGGGGTGGCGCACAATTGGCCCAGCGTCGTCCAGGTTAGGGGAGGGAATGGCCGGCAGGGATGTAGCTCAGCTGGTAGGGCATGGCGTTTGCAACGCCAGGGTTGTGGGTTCGATTCCCACGGGGGGCCAGTATGAAAAAATAATGTATGCACTCACTAACTGTAAGTCGCTCTGGATAAGAGCGTCTGCTAAATGACTCAAATGTAAAAAAATATAAAATACTTGGGGAGTTTCTCCCATTCCTCTCTGCAGATCCTCTCAAGCTCTGTCAGGTCTCTCCAGAGATGTTCGACTGGGCCACTCAAGGACATTCAGAGACTTGTCCCGAAGCCACTCCTGCGTTGTCTTGGCTGTGTGCTTAGGGTCATTATACGGTCAGAAGGTGAATCTTCGCCCCAGTCTGAGGTCCTGAGCACTCTTGAGCAGGTTTTCATCAAGGATCTCTCTGTACTTTGCTCTGTTTATCTTTTCCTCGATCCTGACTAGTATCCCAGTCCCTGCCGCTGAAAAACATCCCCACAGCATGATGCTGCCACCACCATGCTTCACCGTAGGGATGATGCCAGGTTTCCTCCAGATGTGACGTTTGGCATAAAGGCCAAAGAGTTCAATCTTGGTTTCATCAGACCAGAGAATCATGTTTCTCACGGTCTGAGAGTCTTTAGGTGCCTTTTGGCAAACTCCAAGCGGGCTGTCATGTGCCTTTTACTGTGGAGTGGCTTCTGTCTGGCCACTCTACCATAAAGGCCTGAATGGCGGAATGCTGCAGAGATGGTTGTCCTTCTGGAAGGTTCTCACAACTCCACAGAGGAACTCTGGAGCTCTGTCAGAGTGACCATCGGGTTCCCTGACCAAGGCCCTTTTCCCCAGATTGCTCAGTTTGGTCTGGCGGCCAGCTCTAGGAAGGTGGTTTCAAACTTCTTCCAATTAACAATAATGGAGGCCACTGTGTTCTTGGGGACCTTCAATGCTGCAGAATGTTTCTTGTACCCTTCCCCAGATCTGTGCCCTGACTCAATCCTGTCTCTGAGCTCTACGGACACTTCCTTCGTCCTCATGACTTGATTATTGCTCTGACATGCACTGTGAACTGTGGGACCTTATATAGACAGGTGTGTGCCTTTCCAAATCATATACAATCAATTGAATTTACCACAGGTGGACTCCAATCAAGTTGTAGAAACATATCAAGGATGATCAATGGAAACCTGAGCTCAATTTCGAGTCTCATAGCAAAGGGTCTGCTGGATAAGAGCGTCTGCTAAATGACTAAAATGTAAATATGAACCCCATTCTGCCCATGGTTTGTCTGTCTGGAAAGCCTCCGCAAATGAAAACGTGTGGTGGGTGGGGTCAGTCCGGGCCGACCCCGTCCAGGGAATTCTCGGAGGCTCCGGTATGGCACTACCATCACAGACCCATCCCTGGGTTAGGCTGGTAGAGTGACAAACCTAACACTGACCCCATCCATCCACCGTCAACCCACCCAGGAGGGATAGAGTTAATTAGAGGAGAAGTCTGCTGAAGAAGAAGAACAACAACAAAAACAACAATTAGTACATGGGCGCCGAGTGGCGCAGTGGTCTAAGGCACTGCATCGCAGTGCTAGCTGTGTCACTAGAGATCCTGTTTCGAATCCAGGCGCTGTCGTAGCCGGCCGCGACCGGGAGACCCATGGGGCGGTGCACAGCGTCGTCCAGGGTAGGGGAGGGAATGGCCGGCAGGGATGTAGCTCAGTTGGTAGAGCATGATGTTTGCAACGCCAGGGTTGTGGGTTAGATTCCCATGGGGGGCCAGTATGAAAAAAATTAATAATAATAATAATGTATTCACTCACTCACTATAATATTGTTGTCAGTTTCCTATAGGGCAGAGTAACTGCTGTCTGGCCTAAAAAGGGGGTGACAGACAGTTGACAGCAGATGCACAGGCCAGGTGGAGCTGTGACAGTGGTGGCAGATATCCCACTCAAACACAAGGTGAGGGACCAGTGACAAGCTCTCAATGACCATCACATACTGTATTACAGAGAAGTGGATGCTTTTTGGACACAAGGACGAATGTCAAAGGAAACTGTATTAGAAGAGAGCCCCATCTAATGCTTCCTCCAAAACAAATATGTTCCCCCAAATCGTAATAATGAATACTTGAAAACGGGGGAGGCGGTGTGAGGATACAATTATCACATGGAGACCACGTGGTCAATAACATTACACTTGCACTGTGTGATTTCACACCATAATGTGCAATCTCCTCCTTCCTAACCCCCTCTCCAGCCAATTAAATGACTCCGATTCCCTATTCAGCATCTGGGCAACATGGCAGCAAGGGGTAATATGTTGTTATCTCTGGCCAGGTTCTAAACCCAATAAACATGCCGTCACACTCCTACTTTTGAAGATGGGATTCCCAATAGAGCAGCGGAAGAAATTGGCATAGCATGGGGAAGCAAAGACACCGACAAATATGGGGATAACGGAGGTGTAATTGACAAATTTAGAGGTGGGCTGCAAAGCAAGGAATCAAAGGCCTGTGCTTGGTGATGATCACGCCTTGTACAAGTTACCACTAAACATCAATGCTAGCATACCGGTAAAGTCGGTAAAGTTAACTAATCCTCTTATGCACCTAATATATTTGTCCTACTGTATATATACACACAACACATTATTGGTTGAATTCCCTCATTGTAATTCAGATAATACAGTAAAAATACTACAGTTTAGTTTGGTAACAGGTACACCCGTCGTCATGGTCCCCAACAGGTGAAACCATCTTAATTGGTCATGTGGGATGTGGGAAGGGGGCTGACTGATATTTGCTCTGGCAAGGTCACTCTGTCAGTCCCTCAACAGGCCAACGTGGAGGCCGTGGCCATCTGCCACTGTTTGCCTGCACTTTTAGCAACACATTGCTACAGAATGAAAATGAACAAATCATTATCACCATTAGGCTAGATTTTAAGACTGTTTCTGTGCTTTTGTTTCCATAGTTTTGAGACCATTAGAGAAATGACTTAGGTAACATTATTGAATTAGCGTGAAAAGGTTTAC